CCCCCTCAGTCACCAAGACCTGCCTGTTCTCTTCTAGCCTTTAAGAAGTACCTGCAAGAAACCTACGCAAAGCAAGTCTCCAGCCAAGAGCCCTGACCCGGGCTGTCCAGACTCTCTCCTTGTGCTGTCTTTTTATTTTTTCCTTAGATGGTCTGTCCTTTCCTTGATTTCTGTATAGGACTCTGTATCTTCAGCTGTGGTGTCATATTTGTTTTATTTGTTTTTAAATTAAGTCTCTGGTTGAGCCCCTGTGATGACTATATTAAATAAATACATTTTGGGTTGTTTGTTTGTATGTTTGTTTGTTTTTTACAAGTTGCTGCCCTAGAGTTGTGCCCAGGGGCAGCAGGGTCAGGCTCCTGGGATCTTGGCTCACGCCGCTGCTTCTCTCTCCTAGAAGAAGCACTTGACCTTCAGGATGTCCAGGCTGTAGGACCAAGCAGTGCAGTGACTAGGATTTGTTTCCTTGTGACCTTAGCTATTTTATGACTCTGCACCTGTTTCGTTGTCTATAAAATGAATGTCACAAAATGTCTGTTTCTTTGGAGTTGTGACATGTACCAGAAATGTAAATGACTGTTGGAGCTGCTCCAGCTGTGTTGCAGATGAGGGTGAACCAGACCAGAGGTGGGTGGGCGGGGTGGGGGAGGGGTGTGAACCAGCCACCCACCTTCTGACAGTAGATGCTCTGGCCCTGAAAAGGGACAGAAAAGGCTCAGGTCACCCTGCAGCAGGCCCAGGACCTGGAGAGACAGCCAGGAAAAACCCCCTTCCCCATCAGCCCTCAAGAGGCCCCTTGACCCAGGTTCCCCAAAGATGGCTCCCCACGCCAAGGGGGCACATTTACCTCCTGTCCAATCTCCAGCAGCTCCCCCAACCACTGCACCTACTGGCCCAGCTCCCAGCCCCTCAGGCTATCTTTCCACTGGCCTGTTTCAGGACCCAGCCTTTGGGCCCCTGAGAAGAAACGCCTGTGCTGGTCAGCTGGGTGCCAACAGAGGGAAGAAGAGCACGCAAGTGGATGGGCCAAGCCCAGGTACTGCAGGGAGAGCTCCAAGGTGGACAAACCACCAGGGTGCACTCCAACACAGCCCAGGTCTCAGCCTCTTCAAGACCCAACCTGGGGGCAGCTCCGCCTGCAGCTGGTTGTGCAGGCCTGCGGGAGAGGGGAGGAGACAGCCGGAGGCCCATCGGGAAGGCTCTCACGAACCCCTTTTCTGACTCCTGCTATCCCAGCCCCCTTCTCCTGCCCTACCCCCACCAAGCAGCCACATGTGAAAATTGGAGTTGTCAGAACTGGTATTAGAACTTGGGTGTCCTCTGCTCAGTTTCCTCATGCCAAAAATTGTGCTTTTGGCTCTCTCCTTAGAGCTGTGCTTCTCAATCTAAAGGGTATATAAATCCACCTGGGATCTTGTTCAAATGCAAATTTTTATTTAGTTGGTCTGGGGTAGGGCCTGAGGTTCTGCGTTTCTAGTCAGCTGTCATTTCTGTGGTCTAGTTAAAGGTATAGAGCAGTGTTCAGGTGTGCTCCTCCCGGCAGCACAGGTGCACATTCTTGGCCCTAACAATCTCTCCAGGTGATTCTAATGCTCTTGAACTTGAAAATTGCCAGGTTAGAGGAGATTTTAAAAGAGCAGAGCTCAGAGCCTGGCACTAAGTTGGTCCTTAATAAATGTTGGCCAAATCTTCTGCCTTAGGAAACCTCCCCATGCGGTCCTTGATCATGGTGTTTGGTACCCCAGATGGTCACATGGCCTACCTCATATCAGTAACAGGTACCCCATTCTCTACACTGTAGTTCAGAAACAATCAGTGTCTTGGAATTAATCGCTGGGATAAAGTAAAATTATTTTACATTAATAGGGTTACTAAAAGAGGGAGTCAGCCTGAGCTGCTGGTGAAGACAGCTGCAGATCAAAGAAACCCAAGCAGAGACAAAGAGCTGAGAGATGGAGAGAGGTGACATTGTTTGAGACTGGCCTCCTCTAGTTCATGCCTTGGCATCCGCGTTTCATGAACCAATAATCCCTTTTGATGTTAAGTCAGTTTGATTTAGGTTTCTAACATTCGAATAACAAAAAGAAGCCTAGCACAGTAAGTATTAGAAAGTATGATTATTCCTATTCACTCAGTACAGTTATTGAGTGCCTACAAGGTAAAGGCCCTATGCTTGGGGCTGGGCATAAAGCAGGGAAAAGGACAGTCCTGTGCTCAAAGAGGCTGAAGTTCAGGGGAGAGACAGGCATATCAATAGGGTAGAGTAAGTGCTATAGAGAGGTGGTTAAAAGCTCAGACCAGGTAGGCAGAACTATGTTAGAATCCCCACTCCACCCCCATGTTACTTGTATACACTTGGGCATTTAGACTTAACCTCTCTGTAAAATAGGAATATGAGTAGCTACCTCATAGGACAGATGAAGGACCTTAGGTTGGCACCTGGCACGTAGTAAGCACTCAATGCAGGGTGCTAGGCTCTCATGTTGCCGTGAAAGCTCAGAGGTGGGACACCTAAGGAAGACCAGGAGATTCAAGGAAGGTTTTCTGGAGAAGGATTGGCCTAAGGAAGGAATAAGAAAGCACACTTCTCGGAAAGTTCAAGGGGATGGACAGAAGGAGAGGAATAAAGACTGGTGAAGTAGCATGGATGTCAGGTTACGGAGGGCTTGTAAGGCCATAGTAAAATGCTTGGGCTTTATCTTGAGGGCAACTAACAGCTAATGAAGCCATGAACAGGGCAGTGACATGATCAGACTTGGTTTTAAAAAGATCCCTCTAGCTGCCATCTGTCTGGGGAGTGAATGGTGGGGAGGAGGTCAACTACCGTTATCAACGGCCTGGTAAGTAATGATGCTAAGTGGGCACGGAGAGGAGGGATGAAATGGTAAGGAGAAAGTAGCAGAGCACAGCAAGTAAATTAGAAGTGGGAAATGAGCTCCAGAATTCCTGATTTGGGCCTCATCCCTCAGAGTACCATCCCTGAAATAGGAGACGCAGGAGAACAAGATGGAGGAGTAGGGGGACATCAGCTTAGGGCAGGGCCAGTCTGAAGTATTCAGGACATCCAGGTAGATAGAACTGTCAACAGGTAGACAGTATCACAGTTAAGAGCCTTGCTCCTGTTTCTACCACAGAGCGATATCATCTAAGCTATCTAAGCTATGGACTGTGTGCCTGTGTACTTCACCTCACTAGGCCTTAGTTTCCTCACTTATAAAATGGAACTCATTAGATCATGTGCCTCTAGGGTTGTGTGAATGAATGAGACGATGCCTGCAAGGCACAGGGCACAGCACACAGTAGGCACTCAATTGTGATGATTCTTAACCCCAGAGCTGATCGCGGCTGGAAATACAAACTGGGAAACGTGAATGGGAGGCGAGAACATAAATGCGTTGGAGAGGGAGGGCTGTAGCAATGGATAACATTAGAGTTCAACGTTCAAGAATGATGATGATAACGATATTAATAATAGCATTTCATAAATATTGAAACTATGTGCCAGGCTCTGTTCTAAGCACTTTGTACACATTAACTCATCCAATTAACAGGGATCAAGGGTGGACGAAATGGTATCTGAGCTGGGTCTTGGTCTCCTGGAGATGGTATCTGGGCTGGGTTGATGAATTTGCCAGGCTTATTAGAGAAGGAAGGGCATTCCTAGAAGGGAGAACAGCAAGTGCAAAGGCCCAAAGGCTCGACCGTGCACCTCATTGTCCACAGCGGGAATGTTAAATGGCCCAGTTTGATTGGAGCCGCGAGGGGAGAGGCGACTGTGGGAATCGAGAAAAGGAGGGGAGGGCATTTGGATTTGATTCTAGAAGCAATGAGGAGCCTTGAGGGACAGGGGAATGGTCAGGTCAGATTTCATTTTAGCTAGACCATGCTGATGGCCTTCTGTTGAACTCTTCGTAGAAGCCCGAAAGAAGGGAGACTAGGAGTAGGCAGGGATCCAGGGTGGAAATGATGAGGTCAGAACCTCCTTCCTGGCGGAGTGCCTCGACCTTGCCCTACCACCGCCAGTACCGAGCACCTAAAAGCGCTCTGAAGAACAGATGAAGTGGAAAAGGTCAAGCGGGAATAATGCTGCCTGGGATAGTTGGACACCCATTCTCCCATGGCCGGCTCGGTAGCGTGCGCCCAAGACCCAAAGGCTCCATAAAGAAGGATCAGTGGGGAAAGAAAGCCTTCGCCCCTGTTAAACCCGAGGTCCAGCCTCCTGCCGCGCCCTCCTTCTACCCGGCGTCCCTGGCGCCCTCTGCGGGCCGCCGGCTCACCCAGCTCAGATCGAAACCCCTTCAGCCTCCCTCCTGCGCCGCAGCCAGTCCGCGGAGCTGCCCACGCCCAGAGCCAGCTGCAGGTAACCGGCCGCGAACCTGCCGAGCTCGTCGAGCGACGCCCTGCACGCTGGCGGCCGCCGCCCAGGGCTCCTGCGACCCAGCGCCCTTCCACATCCAGCTGCTGAAGTCGCCTCTCCTAGGAGACGGAGGGCGCTCGGGTGGCGCCAGCCGGGGTGGCGCCCTACACCCCGGCCCAGCCAGGCGGCCACTGACACCCGCTCCTCGGTCCTCCCCTTACTCAGCCACGCGCTTTGCAACGTTTCCTTTTATTCCTTCTAGAAGGGGATCCCCAAAGGGGCCGCGCCTCCCTCCCGGGCGGGGAATGACACGGGGCGGGGCGGAGCCCCCATGCCCGAGGATCGCGCGGTCTCGGTGGAGGCGAGGGCCCGCTTCTTACTGCACGCCCTCCATCATCTTCAGGAACTCTGCGGGAAGGAGAAGGACAGGCGGTCAGGGGTCCCCTCAAGACGCGGAAGCCCTGCGCCCGGTGCGCACTGTCAGGGGGCGAGTGAGGCCCGGCCAGGGCTCCGGCCACGCGGAGGAGGTGCCTTGGCGTTCAGTGATAAATTGCACAAAACCAGGTGGAGCTCCCTACCCGCCACCGCAGGAACTTGGTCAGGCTACGCCCAGCCCCGCCCACAAGGCTATCCTGTGTGGGTGCCAGCTGCATGGGTGCCCCGTCCCCGTCGCTCCCGGGGGCTCCAATCCCGGCTCCCCACTCTCTCGCCTCCCTCACCGTCGAAGTCAATGCGGCCATCGTTGTTCTTGTCCCCGTCTTTCATCAGGGATTCAATCTCCTCGTCCGTCACATGCTCCCCAGAGGCTCTGAAGATCTCAGCCAGCTCCTCCGCATCGATGTAGCCGTCTGCGTTCCTTTGGAGCGGAGGGACAGGGCGGGACTCAGGGACGGCAGGGGCTCACTGTCCCGGCCACACTCCGCGCCCCCTCCCGCACCCTCACCCTGAGAACCTTCGTGCTCTGTGGGCCAGGCTCAGACTACTCAGCGCCTGCCTCGGCTCCCAGGTCCCCAATGCACCTGTCGAAGATGCGGAAACACTCAGCCAGCTCCTCCTCACTCTTCCCCTTCGCATCCTCTTTCATCTGGCGCACCATCATGACCAAGAACTCCTCGAAGTCGATGGTGCCGCTGCCTGAGGGGAGCAGGTGATGAGTAAGCCTGAGTCTCCGATCCCTGGATGCCCGCCTCTCCCCACCCCCCTCGAACCCTGCCTGAGAGGGCTACCCGCTCACCGTCTTCATCCACCTCCTCGATGATGGCGTCCAACTCCTCTTTGGTGGGTGTCTGGCCCAGCATCCTCATCACCGTGCCCAACTCCTTGACGCTGATGTCCCCACCACCATCAGCATCAAACATGTCAAAGGCGGCCTTGAACTCTGCGAGGGGAAGGAAGGCAGAGGGCTGAGATAAGCCTACTGAACTGTCAGCCTCACATGCACCCTCCCACCCTGCCTAGACACCAAACATCTCCCAGCATACATCAACCCAACAGCCAGCCCGCCCACCTCCACTCACCAGCGATCATCTCCTCGCTGAGGTAGGACCGGGCCTCAGCCTGCTGGTCCGTCTGCAGAAGACAGAGTCACATGGCAGAAGGGGCAGCCCTGGGGCGATTTCTGCTCTAACCCCCCGTTTCCTCAACTCCCACCTCTCTAAGTGCTCCCATTGGTCATCAGAAAGAACTACTCCAAACTAGCCACCCCTTCTGCCTACTCCTACAGCCCCTTGACCCCAGTTTTAGAGAACTAGGGAGGAAACAGCTTAAGCCAAGTCCTTCTCACTTGTTAATCAGAGGTCAAGTCAGGAACCGGGCAGTAACCTTGGGCAAGTCACTTAATGTCCCCTCATCCCCCACCTCTTCTCAGCAGCTTTTCAGGGATGAAATGAAACTGGAGCTGTGAAAGGACTACGTAAGTGCCAGCACCATTTCAGCACGCCTTCCCATTTTCTCTAGCTCTTAACGGTGCCGAGTACTTTAATAGGTGCTCAATAAATGTTGGTTCTCAAATTTATAATGCAACACCAAGTTATTGAGCATTACTAAGTGTCAGGCCATAGACCAGGCACTGGAACCACCAAGAAGAGTCAGACACATCATCATCCTCCTTTCTGGAAACTTTCAGAGATGGAGATTTTAAGCTTCCTTCTTATGATTCAGTCACTGGAGTAAATGCCACTCATGCCAGGCAGAATGCGATGGGGGCCTTGTGGGGTGAAAATAAGATTTCTGTGGGAGTTTCTGGTCACATCCAAGCCATCTGGGTAGGGGGCTTTGGACTGTGGCTGGCGGTGAGGAAGGGCTGAGGTGTCCCAGGAGTTCTTCAGCTGGCTAGCAGCTGGCCCTCCTTCTTGCCCCACATCCTCCTCTCCTCCTCCTTGCCCATGCCAGGAGGCCAGGCTAATTTTAGTCTGTCGAGGGAAACAGCAGCTGGCCTCCAGGGTCTAGTTACTCCTTGAAGTGCAGTGGGGAGGGGGATCTCAGAGGAAGATGATAGCTCCAAATCAAAACTCCTCTCTGGAAGGCTGGGGTCTCTCTAACTCTTGCCTGTCATCTTCTGCCCCTTCTCATCATCCTTGGAGCTGGAGCTGGAGCTGAAGCTCCTGAGCTGGCTCAAGGCCCTTAAAGTCCTCCTATCTTCTAAAGAAGTCTTTCTTTTCTCGCTGGCCATAGGAGGGTTTGGCCAGGCTTCCATCCCTGCCACTGGTTTCATGGGGTGGCTCACTCTGACCCTCAGGGTCTGCATCTTTACCAAGCTAAGATAGATGCAAGCTAAGCCCCGCCTCCCTTACAGTTCTGTGACCAGCATTGCTGGAAGTCTCAGAAAGTCTGCAGGGAATTGGTACACCTTGAAGATCAATGCCTGGAACAGCCCAGCCCTGCCTTTCTAACAGAAGTCTAAGGCTTTCTTCCCAGAGTTCCTCTTAGACTCCTGAGTTTCAGGAACCTTCATGTTCCATCTTCAAACATCCAAGTTACTGCCCCACATAGCACCCAGATCTGGCCTGAAAAAGGCCTTGAAGTCCCCCAGCAAGCAAAGGGATAAAGTCCCTTCTTGTCCTTACCATGATTGCTAGTGACAGGAACTTCTCTGCTGTGGGTCACCTCCTCCACACTCCACCATCCAAAGATGCCCTGGCCTGTGTCAGCTCCTGAGATTTGTAGGGGCACCCTAGTCTCCCACCTCCTTGCTCCCCAGGACTGGATGCCCTGGCCAATCAGATCCTGGGGTCAGCGAGCCCCCCTCCTCTCAGAGTCCTAGCCCGTTACCTAATTTAGCCAAGGGCCCTTGCAGAGAAATTGAAACCTTGGAGCAGGTGGCAGGTCTTGACGTCCTAGATTCTTGTGAGGAGAACACGCCCTGCTCCACTGCCTTAGGAAGCCCTCTCCAAGAAGCACACTTGCTCTAAGATGGATAAGAACAATCAGAATAGAGAAAAGTGACCCTACCTGGTGGAGTGTGGGGAGCGCAGGCCTTGAAGTTCAAAACCCAAGATCCAAGACCTGCCTCCGCAAGCTGTGTAACCTTGGACAGGTTGCAGTGCTGCTCTGAGCTTCGGTTTCTTTATCTGTGAGTTGGGGATAGTCATAACCTCTCTCACGGAGAGATTGTCATATACAGGAGCCCAGGTATAAGTCACCTAGCTTGTGTCAGTCACATAGTGTTAGTGGTTGGCAAGTGGAATGTCCTGTCTCTGAACCATGGTAAGGGTCGGGGGACCAGAGAAGGGGAAAGTGACAGCCATGGAACCTCTACAACATGCACACACTGTACTAAGCATTTTAACCACATGATCTCATCTAGCAGTCACCCTATGAGGTGGTGACTATTATTATTCCCTTTTTATTGGGGAGCTTTGTAAATCATAAAGGTCTCCAGTCAAGTTCGGGATTTGTATTAATCCTGACTGAGGAGAAGTTGGGACACACACTCCTCGGGGGACCCATCCAGGAGAAATGTATGCAGGAGTCCAGGAAACAGGGTGTGCATTTGGAAGAGAAATCAACATTGAAAGCAAATTCTTTCGTTAATTTTACCTTCTCCAGAGAAAGGGTTTTGGGGATTCACTTTTTGGGGGAAGAGGGAGAGCAGGGGGGATTTCTTTAAGTAGGTGAAGGGGCAGCTGGCCCTTGCTAGAACTTGGTGACGTCTGGAGATGTTCAGCTGGCCCTCTGGAGAATGAAGGGGTGGGCAGATCACGTCAAGTCTGAAGGGAGCACAGCCTGAAAATGCACAGGGTCCAGGCTGGGTGTTGGGAAGTGGGCAACGTTCATGGACAATGGCTAAGGCAACAGAAAGAGCACTGAGACCACTGAGCACAGAGTCTGGGGACAGTGAAAGGGGGCTGGACACCAAGGAAGGCAGATGGACAGTAGCAACTGGGCTGCCCTCGTCCCCTATATATAGACATTCCCAAGTAAAGCTTAGTTGAGCCAGGCCAGGCTAAATAAGGCCTCCCCAAGCCAGGCAGAGGGCCAGGGGATGATGACACCTAGGGGATTCCAATTTGGACACAAATATTGGAAGCTCTTGATCCCTTTAGAACAGAGAGTGTGGAACTCTCAGCAACCATTTGTTCATTAATTTGTTCTTTAATTTATTCAGAGAAATATATAAGGTCCAAACTCAATATGGCCACACAAGTCCCACTGACCCCTCTAATCTCACTCCCCTTTCCTCCCCACCTTGCATGTTGCTCCGCTTTGGTTTGATGAAAATACTCCTCCAAATACCACAGCATATGCTGTTTTTTTCCTGCCAGGAACTCCCATCTTCCCGCTCTTCATTTGCCTACTTCCCTATTGTCTTTCTCAGCTTTAACATCACTTCCTCCAGGATCCCTCTTCCCCTACACTCAGGCCAATAGAGTCCAAGGTGGTCTCCAGGAGTTTCCTCAATCACTGCACTGAGCATGCCAAATGATCATGACCTGTTCTGAGTTCCAAGGACCAGAGATGGTTTCCTGTTCACCATTGCATTCCCCAGCACCCAACACTTGGCACTGAGCAAGTGTTCAATAAATATTATATTCTCTATAAGAATAACTGAATTGAATGGCATTTGGTTCAATATAAGAAAGAAGTTCCTAAGAGTCATGGTTGAACAACAGTGGAAAAGGGCAGTGTCAGGAGATAATGAGTTTCCTGCTACTGAATGTATGCAAGCAGGAATTTGAGGACCGTCTCTCAGGGCGGCTGTAGGAAGATATCCATGCAGAGTCTAAGAGTAGTGGGGAATATGAGACATCGGGAGATCTTGTTCTGGCCCTGTTCGTATGACCCAGGGTGCAACCCTTCCCCTCACTGAGCCTCAGACCACCCACCTGGAAAACGGAAGTGCCAGATTTCTGAGCCACCCTCCTGCTTTGACAACTCATCATTTTATGAACACCTGCTCTGTACTCAGACTTGTGAGGCATATGCCAAAGCACCAGTTTGGTGAATGAGTGAGTGTTGAGTTAATGACTGAATGACGTGTCTCTTTTCCCCCAACACCCTGCTGGTAAGTTGGATGAAGAGTAGTTAGAGCTTTGAAATTACACAGACTTGGACTGAAATCCTAGCTCCCCTATTTCCTAGCTGTAGATTTTGGGAAAGCCAATTTTCCTCAGTTTCTTTATCTTGAAAATGGACCGTTATTGTCCAGTAACAACCTCCTCCCAGGATGTTGTAGGGGGGTGAGATGTGACCCCATGCAAAGTGCATAGAATAGGCTGTAGGACACAGTGGAACCTCAAGATATGCGAGCCCCACCCATCCTGCACATGGGAGGGGAGAGAGTGGGTTTTCCATTCAAAGCTCTTTCCCCCATCCCTCTCTTTCCCCCCTTTATGTCATTCTAAATGGGTAGGAGATACTGTTAGAAAGATTTTATTTGTTCATTGTAGAACTAGCAATATGTGCCCTGTTAAGGACTGATAGCTGGGTCTTCAAACAGGAAGCAACAATAAATTTTTCTTGACCTGTTGCTGCCGCCCTCCAGGTAAAAGATAAAACACAGCCTCCCAGAGGCCTTACTGAGATTACCAGGCCTGATTTGTGGGAAAAGAACAGGATGCAGACCTCAGGAGACCTGAGCTGCCTACTCCACCCAGAAACCTCTTGGCAAGCTGTGTGACTTTGGGCAAGTAACTCAGTGTCTCTGCGTCTCAGTTGCCCCGTTTGCCTGCTTGCTATGTGTGAGGCTCAAATGAGATTGTAAAAGCTTGTGAACACTGTAGAAACGATAATCATGGAACTAACTGATCATTTCGTCAGTCACTGCTCTGTGCCAGGCACTGGACTAAGGTGCTTACAAGAGCTGCAAAATTAGTACTATTTTTAATGGTTCCTCTTTTATATATGAGAAAACTTAGGTTCAGCGAGGTCGGACTCCAACCCAGATCAAGGGTCTTCTTGGCCTCAGTTTTCTCACCGGAGAGAAGGGCTTCCCACTGTCGCATGACTTTGGAAAGTTAAAGAATGCTGGGTGCACTCCAACTTTGGGGGGCTAAACTGCGGCCAGCCTGGGTCTCCGGGAGGGGTGGGAGGATTCAAGGATGGGGTAAGCCCCGCGGGATCGGGGACGATCCCGCAGGAGGCTTGGGGCCCAGGCCTACCCAGGATTCCCAAGTCTCTCCCGGATCCAAGGACCCGGGATTCACGGGCGGCTCCGGGGAGCGGGCGGGGCTGGGGGCGGGGCGGCGGCAGGAAGCGGCGGGAGCGGCGCTGGGAGCAGCTGGGCCCGGCAGAGCCCAGTCGGCTTTAGTAAACCGCCGGAGGCTGCACCGGGACCCCTGGGGAGAGGCGCGCCCCTGAGTGCACCGCGGGATGTAGGAAGTAGAGACGCGATAAGGGGCGAAAGAGACGCAGGGGGAGTCCCGGGCCCCTCCCGGGGAATGCGCGGCCCCAAGCTGCGGCAGCGAGGGCACGGCGACGAGAGCTGAGCCTCGGGGCTCGCAGAACCCCACCGGGCAGGGGCGGGGCCTCCGCGGCACCCGTCCCTCCCCCGGCCTGGGCCCCGCCCCTCCTCCTCCCGGCGTGGGGACCGGGGCTGGCTCCCGTCCCCGCCCAGGACCTATCGGAGCGCGCTCCCCCCAGGGTGCCATGGCTTCGCGGCTCCTGCACAGGCTGCGGCACGCCCTGGCCGGCGACGGCACCGGGGAGGTGGCGGCCGGCCCGGAGGCCGAGCAGTTCCCGGAGAGCTCGGAGCTGGAAGACGACGACGCCGAGGGCCTGTCCTCCCGCCTCAGCGGCACCCTTAGCTTCACCAGCGCCGAGGACGAGGACGAAGAGGACGAAGAGGACGACGAGGAGGCACCTGACTCGCTGCCCGCAGCGGACGGGGCGTCGGGAGAAGACGCAGGCAAGTGCGGAGGGCGGAGGCGGGGACCCCGGGGTTCGGCTCGATTAGGCCGCCACCTCAGCCGCGTTCCCGGGATTGTCCTGGGCTCTGAGTTGATCCTGCAGAAACTCCAAAACTCTGAAACTCCGACACTTCTTGAAGCGTCCCAGGCACCCCTTGGCTCTGTGACCTTGAGAGAGTAGCAACACCTCTCTGAGCTAAGTTTTCCCTGGTGTCATATGGAGGAAATCACTCCCATCTCAGGGTTTTTGCGGCATTAAATGTGCAGTCTGGGGTACAAATGGTAATGTGCGAAGGATGTTTCGGGGGTGGAGATATTTATTTATTGCCGACTGTATGCCAGGCACGGTGTTTGGCATCCGGCTCCTCTCTGGCCCTCAGTTTCCATTTATGACAAATGGGGATAAAGCTATGTCACCTGTTGGAAAGGTGAGTGAGGTCATGGAACATGGTTTATGTGACCCTGGCCCTAGGCTCACTGATGTGACTAGTCGTGTACTCATGCAGAACAGAGCTCCGCACCTGATGGGCAGCGGAGCAGTCAGCTCCTGCCACGGCAATTGCAGGATTTCTGGAAGAAGTCGCGAAACACCCTGGTACCCCAGAGGCTGCTCTTTGAGGTGACCAGCGCCAACGTGGTCAAGGACCCCCCCTCCAAGTACGTGGTGAGTGAGGGTCCAGGAACCCCTGGGCTGTGAGTCTACAAGTCTAGCTAAGAAAAAGCAAGGAAGACTCAAACTTCCTTGAGGGTATCTGACTTTGTAGTCATAAACGGCTGCCCATATTTAAAGATGGACAACAAGCCAGGAAGAGGATGTAACTTGAGCAAGTCCTCTGGCAATGACAGCTTCTCTGAGATTGGGTAAAGAAAGAATTATGGACCTGCCTTCTACCCTAGTTTTGAGAATAAAAACTGGTGTGTATGTCCCCACTCACCTCGCCCCTCCCCCCCAGGGGTTTGCAAATTGTAACAAGATGCAGGATACACAGGAAGGAATATTATCTGGATCAGACTTGAGACTCAAGTTGCACTGGTTAGTGGTTTAAAAAAATGGATTTTGGATGCAGAACTTGATTCGAATCCCATTTATTACTAGTTGTTTGACCTTGGGTGAGTTGTATGATCTCGATGACCCCGTTTCCTCATCTGAGCAATGGGAATAATGCAAAAGATTGTCACAGGAATTAAATGAGACAGTGCACAGAAATGCCCTTAGCACTGTGCCTGGCATTATGAAGTGCGCGAGAAAATGTGTAAAATAAAAAGTAGCTCTATTATTATTACTTAGCTTTGGATTAAAAATGCCTTGTATCTAGGGTCTGTTGTGGCCTCCTTACAACCCAGGTGAATCAATTCTCCAGCACCCACCCGGTACAGATAATCTTGTCCTAAGGGCTCCTCCATTAGGGGGTTGGTGGGGTATGGGTGAAGAGCAATGTGGGGGAGAGGTCTGGAAGTCTCTGTTTCCATAGCTGTGGAAAAGAGTAAATAACATAGAAAATGAGGTCTGCCAGGTCCTGCTCCCAGCCAGGCCTGAAACCCAGCCTGACCTGGCTAAGTCCTGACAGCGGCAGCTCCCTGCCTCTCACTTCCCTCCTCTTCACTACCATCTTCCGTTACTAAAGGATCTGGAGCCCCTGTCCCACATCTGGGCCTCTCCAACCCTCTCTGCTGCTATTAGTAAACAAGGACCACACCCATGGGGTGATTGCTTCAATTTGAGCAGGGATTGTCCAGTAATCAAACCTTAAGTGGCTAAAGTCCTGGCCAGGCACCGTACACAGGAAAGGAACTGAGGAGCAGCTGGGAAACAAGGAGGTATGGTGGGGACTCTGGGGAGAGAATGACAAGATAGAGCAGGATTGCCAAGTATGCCCTGGTCAGTGACCGGGGAAACAAATCACCTCCTTTGTCCAATGGGAACCCTAAATCCCGACTGAACTTTCCCTGGGGGCTAAGAGCACAGGCTTTGGAATGAGACTGGCCTGGGTTTGAATCCCGGCTGGGCCATTTCCCAGCTGTGTGACTTAGGAGAAGTCTTTGAAGCCTTTGTCCCCTCTTTGCGCCCGCTTCCTCGGCTGTCACTGTAAGGACGCCTTCCTCGTAGTGCTCGGAGCTGGAGGATTTCACTTGATGATCAGGTGAAATAGACGTAAAGCGCCTGGCACAATGCATGGCACAGGACAGCTGCTCGGTTAATGGAGCTACTGTCATTACCTATCCTGGCAGGACATCACAGGATCAGATTGGATAATGGATATAAAATGGTTTTTGTCAATAAAACCAAAAAATAAAAATAAAAGCCAGACGAACATAAGGGGTCATTATAGACTATTTCTTCCTGAAGTGGTTCTACAGAAAACTGTTTTCCTAAAATGTTAATAAACTGCTCCTTGAAAAAAAAAAAGATTTTGCAGTTAGTATGTTTTAGGGATGCAGAGTTAAATGAGAGTAAAATAAGTTTCTTCCCTGTTTAGCTTTTTAATCCTTAATGTTAATGTACACCGAATCTTCAAGAGAATAGAGTAGGAAAACCTCATTGACCAGGGGTGGCTATAATACTGGCAGTTTCACAGAACAAATTCGAGAGAAAAATCTGGGTTTGGTGCTGGTATGCCTTTGACATCCAACACTTGTTAATCCCCCCTTTTGAACCTGCTGGCTCACCATCCTTATAGATTAATCCATAATTGGGCTCTCAGACCTGAGAGAAGCTTCATGGTCATCTTATTCGGTGTTTCCCAAACATCAGTCATTCCAGTACCACGTTCACAATTTTTGTCCCATCTAAATGCTACTTGTACATTCTTTAACATTTTCCTTTAAATAAACTTGTTTTGAGTTTTTTTTTTTAATTGCTTAAATTTAAAAGAACTTTATAGCACTACTGTATATGGAAAGCCTCACTTGCCATAGAGAAGATAACCATAAAAATAAAAGGCATGAAAATGAAACAGTGTCGTTAAACTCTGCTTGGATGACGTTGCCCAAAGGCCCTGACCCAAGATTCATTTTCTGGCTCTTTTCTAAAAATGGAGCTGAGAAGTGTTGGTGAAGTGCTTTTTAAAACCAAGCCGAGAGCTTCTCAGTTTGCAGTAAGATTCAAAGAAAATCAGGGGGGAATCACCTCCTGCCTCTGATTCAGTGTTACTTACTCTAACACACACCACCTAAAAATCTCAGAAGTAACATTTATGCAAGTTCCACACATGAGTAAACACTAACCTGGGGCAATGCTTCATTCACTAGAGAAGGAAGCAGATGCCAAGAGGGGCCTGCCTTGCCTAACCTCACACAGTGAGGGAGGGAGTAGCTGACCTGGGGTTAGAACTCCGAGTCCACGTCTCGTGTACTTTTCAGTGATGGCTCCCGGGGTGCCTGAAGACCTGTCTTCCAGGTCTGGGTTGCAACAACCTGACTAGAGATGTGGGGCTCTGTATCCTGAGTAGAACAAAGCTTCTAAAGGTTGGCTCAGAGGCTCAAGAGCTCAGCCTGGGTTTCAGCTCACCCTCATTTTCCAGAGGGGCTGTCAGAAGAGCTAGTTGCCCTGTGGGAAGGGAGTACTTTTTGGAAGGGGCAAAGGGCAGCAACTCCAGGCACTGAAGCTCATCTCTGTCTTTCTCTCCCCGTGCTGCCTTGGGCCTGGGTCATTTCAGACGAGCCTCAGGTAAGATGGGACTGGGCTCCCTAGCTGCTCCAGCAGCTCCCACCCTCCTGGGCCCAATCTCAGGGGTGAAGGGAAGAGGTGGGGGAACAGAACTGGAAGTGTGGGTGTGGGGATGGAAGGGGCCCATGGACAACTTGCACCTGCCCTGACCGCCACTCTCCCTGCAGCTCTACACCATCGCCGTGATGGGTCCAAGGCCACCAGATCGCCAGCCAGCCCAGATCTCTCGCCGCTACTCGGACTTTGAGCGGTTGCACCGAAACCTGCAGCGGCAGTTCCGAGGTCCCATGGCTGCCATCTCCTTCCCCCGTAAGCGCCTGCGCCGGAATTTTACTGCAGAGACCATTGCCCGCCGCAGCCGGGCCTTCGAGCAGTTTTTGAGCCACTTGCAGGCAGTCCCCGAGCTGCGTCATGCCCCAGACCTGCAGGACTTCTTTGTGCTGCCTGAGCTGCGACATGCACAGAGCCTCACCTGTACTGGCCTCTATCGTGAGGCACTGGCACTCTGGGCCAATGCCTGGCAGCTGCAGGCCCAGCTGGGCACCCCCTCAGGCCCAGATCGCCCCCTGCTGACCCTGGCTGGGCTGGCTGTGTGCCACCAGGAGCTGGAGGACCCTGGGGAGGCCCGGGCATGCTGTGAGAGGGCCCTACAGCTGCTGGGGGACAAGAGCCCCCACCCTTTGTTGGCACCCTTTCTGGAGGCCCACGTCCGGCTCTCCTGGCGCCTGGGCCTGGACAAACGCCAGTCAGAGGCCCAGCTCCAGGCCCTGCAGGAGGCAGGCCTGACCCCCACGCCACCCCCCAGTCTCAAAGAATTGCTCATCAAGGAGGTACTAGAATAACCTTGCCTAGACTTCAGACCTCTGTGGGGAGAGGCACTGCACCAGGATGGCTGGGAGGTTGGGCAGGAGGCCGATGAGGACCTGGACAACAGTCGAGAGGCTGAAGAAGGTACTGGGAACCCCTAGAAGTTCCACAAAGAATTTGTAGCAGACTGAGGAAACATGGTTCTTCTGTTGAGCTGGGCTCAGGACAAGCTTTGGCTGGGAATGCCCGAGATGGTGCAGGGAGGACATCTGATGCAGCCTCTCTGGCTTATGAACAGCTGGGGGCTGTGTCCCAGGTCAGGGTCAGTGTTCCCTTTCCCTTGGGCCTCTAAGCCAGCAAGGCACCCTGGCCAAAGGGCCAGGGACTCTGTCTCTGGAGTCCTGGAGTTGATGGCTGGAGGGAGGGCTGCAGTTCTGGCCCAGGAGAATTAAAGGCCAGCAGCTCCAGTGGTATCAGTCTCTTTATTGAATATGAGGGACAGACGGCCCAGCCCTTGACTGTAACTCCTGCCTTAGGAGTGGGGGGAGAAGGGAAAGCCCTGAAGCCACAGGCCAACCTGGTACCTCTGGCTACAGCTTGCTCTCTGAGACCTGGGGCTTCAATCGGATCACGCCCTCCTGGGCACAGGTTATAGCCAGGACGCCGTCCCGACGCCACAGATGCCCATGGACCAGCCCCCGGGAGCCACCTGCAGGCGAAGAGACGGGTAAGAACAGCCTTCTGTCCTTCACAGCCAAACGTGCTTCTTGAAAAGGGTGCAATCCAGGCTGGACACACTAAGTGCTATAGATGCCTCCAATCTCCAAGCACCCCTTTGTGAGACTAGTACGGTCAGTCCCTGGGGGCTAACTCCTCCACAGGCACCCCACTTGAATGTTTAAAAGCACTTTCACATATCCTCTGGCTTCCTCAAAAATATCACAGAGGAGGGAGTTCAGAGAACAGTCTCCATCGGTAGCCTGGCTAAGCAGATCTGCCCCACCTCTGGCCATCTGTGTTAGAAAACTCATCAGTTCCCTTTATAATAAACCAAACCAGTCCCTCCAGGCTGGCATGCCATGAAAAACACCTCCTGCCCAAGGGAACAAAGGGGCTCAGGGCAGAGGACCTGAGGCCATGAGGTCTGGCCACCTCTCCCTCCCTGCCACCTGCAAATTTTCTCTCCCTTCTAGCCTTGGGCCTGAGTTTATTATGTATAAAGGGACCTGATGGTTTGTCTTAGGTGTAGCAGAGCTCACTTGGTCCTCATAGTAGCTAGGCAGGGCTTGTCCCCTTTCCAGATGATGACCCTAAAGTTCAGAGAGACTCAGGAACTTGGCCTTAAGAATCAGGCTAAACCCAAGTGTCCTAACTTCAAGGTTGTTGATCTTGTCCTATGATGCTATTGGTACTTGAGAGTCCCCTTTCCCTATATAAAGAGTCCTTTAAGTTAGGTCCCTGTTTCACCAAGCGAGCAAGGTTTTTCTTCATTGGAAATGTACTTCCTTGAAAAGAAACCCAGTGCTGAGACTAGACGCTAATGAATGAGTTTTAGTTTCTCTATGTCTCTGATGAGGAGTGTCCAAGTAGTGGGGCCCTTAGAAACTGTTGAGTGCAGTGAACCCCAATCAAGTTAATTAGCAAAATCGCTTAGGGAGCTTCTTAAAAATACAGTTTCCTGGACCTCTTCCAAGACCTGCTAAGTCAGAATCTTGGAATATGAGAATCTGTTTCGAAAAAGCTCTTCCAAGTGGTGGTCTGATGAGCCACCAGCTTTGGATACTACTATTCTAACGCAACCCTACTTAGATGGGGAAACTGAGGCTCAGAGAGGAGATGGGACTAGCCCAAGGTCATCTTGAAAATCTGAAGTGGTTCTGGGACTAGAATTGGGTCTCTGAAACAAAGTGCATCATATTTGCAGAATGTTACAGAAATTAAGAGCCAAGCAGATGTTCCGCCCTCCAACCTCACCCGATCATTTTGAAGACAAGGATGTCAAAGCCTAGGAGGGCAGGAGAGGAAGTGACACGTGCAGTGCCCCAAAGGATGTGGGTGGGGGGCAGCATCACCCAAGAAAGCAGGCTCCCTGCCAGCCCAAGGTCAGTGCCCTTGTCCCACATGGCCCCACACTCACCAGCCCAGGGGCTCTCGCACCCCTAACCCAAGTGTCCTAACTTCAAGGTTGTTGATCTTGTCCTATGATGCCTTTTGGTACTGAGAGTCCCCTTTCCCTATATAAAGAGTCCTTTAAGTTAGGTCCCTGTTTCACCAAGCGAGAAAGGTTTTTCTTCACTTTGGATGTACTTCCTTGAAAAGAAACCCAGTGCTCTGAGACTAGACGCTAATGAATGAGTTTTAGTTTCTCTATGTCTCTGATGAGGAGTGTCCAAGTAGTGGGGCCCTTAGAAACTGTTGAGTGCAGTGAACCCCAATCAAGTTAATTAGCAAAATCGCTTAGGGAGCTTCTTAAAAATACAGTTTCCTGGACCTCTTCCAAGACCTGCTAAGTCAGAATCTTGGAATATGAGAATCTGTTTCGAAAAAGCTCTTCCAAGTGGTGGTCTGATGAGCCACCAGCTTTGGATACTACTATTCTAACGCAACCCTACTTAGATGGGGAAACTGAGGCTCAGAGAGGAGATGGGACTAGCCCAAGGTCATCTTGAAAATCTGAAGTGGTTCTGGGACTAGAATTGGGTCTCTGAAACAAAGTGCATCATATTTACAGTATGTTACAGAAATTAAGAGCCAAGCAGATGTTCCGCCCTCCAACCTCACCCGATCATTTTGAAGACAAGGATGTCAAAGCCTAGGAGGGCAGGAGAGGAAGTGACACGTGCAGTGCCCCAAAGGATGTGGGTGGGGGGCAGCATCACCCAAGAAAGCAGGCTCCCTGCCAGCCCAAGGTCAGTGCCCTTGTCCCACATGGCCCCACACTCACCAGCCCAGGGGCTCTCGCACTCATAGAGCATCCATTGGTCAGCTCGGAACGGGGCGTGGAACCACATGGAGTGGTCCAAGGAGACCATGAAGTGCACCTCATGCTGCCACTTGTGGGGCAGCAGTGCTGTGCCAAGGAAGGCATAGTCCGAGATATAGGCAGCCACGCAGCAGTGCATCTTGATGTCGCCCTCCCCTGCAACAGGTCCCAGCCCTATCAGCCCTGGGATCTTGGGCTTTACAGCTCAGGATCTGCAGGGAGGTGGGGAGAAAGGGACTACCATGCACAGAAATACAGACTGTTCACTGCACAAGGTGTATGTGTGATGGGGGACAGGGAGGTAGGGATGGAAGGCACACAGGGGTGAGGGAGGACTGAAATGCAGTCTTCACTCACCAAGTCTCTCATATAGGTACCTTATGGTTAGCAGTGGGCCTGGAGAAGAATCTCAGCAAGGTGCCTCACCTCCCCCAGAAAGGGCCTACGTTAGGATTATAGTCGCCTCCCTATTCACTCCATGTAAAGGTCTGACAGGGCCCTCGTGAGAAGCCGAGCCAACTTCCCCATCACACAGATGAGGAAACAGGCCCAGAGAGGGGAAGTAACGTGCCCAAGGCCACACAGGTCAAATAAGGTACAGGCCTAGACCCCTGGAGAATGTTCTCTCCCAGTCCAGGGAGTTGTCTTACCAATATAGCCCCGGGCTCGCACCCAGAACATCTGTTTGGGCTCCATGTTCTGCAGCTGGCTCAGCATGGTTGGGTTTACCCACTTGATCTCAATGGGCATGTCGTAGGCAGCAGTTCGGTTCACCAACATTTGGTACTTATCGTGGAAGTCAGGGTCCCTGAAAGTAAAGGGGAGAGGGACTAGGGGACACCCAGAGAGAGAAGTCTCTCTTCTGAGCTGCCTCTTTTGACCCCCCTCGTTCCTCCATAGGGATTTCTGACTTAGCCTCAAAGCACCTCTCTCCTCTGGCAGGTGGGAGAGTCTAGTTTTTGAATTCCTTCTTTGCCTCACATGAGCCATGTGGCCTTGTGCAAGTGAGTAATCTCCCTGAGCCTATTTCCCTCACAGCAACCTTATGAGTAAACACTATGGAGAAGAGAAGATAAAGCATATAAAGCCAACACATCCTAGTCGTGAGACATACCTCCAATAGGCACCATTCTAAGCATTTCACCACATTAACTCATTCCTCACAACAACCTGTGAGGTGGGTGCAATTTTCACCCCTGGTGATGCACGAAATACGCATAGAGTCCAAGCGGCTTGCTCAGGAAGTAGAGAAGGCAGGGTTCGGACCCAGGCAGTGTGGCTCCTTGGTTTATACTCCCAACCACTTCACTATTCCAAACCTCAGGAAACAAGCTGCCCAACTTGGACCGAGTTACGTCACCCTAAGCAACTGGGAACACTGTGTCCCTGGAGGGGAGAAGCCTGTTTCCAGGGAAGCCTCTTCACCACTCCTAGTGCTCTGCACGGGTTATTTCCATCTTCATCCCTATCCTCCTGCCCTAGAACCTTCTGCAATGATGGAATGTTCTGTATCTGCACTGTCCACTACGGTAGCCACTAGCCACATGTGGCTACTGAGTGCTTGAAATAAGACTAGTGTAACTGAGGAACAGAACTATTAATTCTACCTAATGTTAATTAATATAATCATACGTGGCTAGTGGCTTCCTTACTGGATAGCACAGCTCTAGATTTAGGGACCTTTAAGAACGATGTCCTCCTTTGATTTCAGCAAACACTTCTGAACTCCAACTGCATACCACCCTCTGTGCTTATTCTTCTCTGTCAACAGTGGTATAACTACAATTTACTGAGCACTCACTAAGTGCCTTATTATCTCTTATCTCATTTAATCTTCATGGTAGCCTTATGAGGTAGGAGTTATGATTAGCCCCATTTTAAAACTGACGGCACAGGTTCAGAGTGGGAAAGCAACTTGCCCACACTCACACAGCTAGCAGAGACAGAATCAAGATTTGAACCCAACCCTTTCCCAGGTTCCAACCCACACGTGTCCCATCACACCCGGCTACTTCTCCAGCACGCAGCACAAGACAGAGATGCGCGCTACAGCTGTGAAGTAGGCCGGGCAGAAACGACCATTCCCAGTTTGCGGATGATGAAGCAGGGCTCTGAGAGGCTGGAGAGCTGAGCAAAGTCACACAGCAGATGGGCATTGATAGGGTACAGCCCTGGCCAGAATCCATGTGTCTGTTCTGTGTTGGGACCCAGAGCTCTCACCTTGCCCCAGCATTTTTCCAACTTTAACGACTGCAATCCATGTAAGAAATATATTTTACCAGGTGATATTTAAAATATTTTAACACAGTAGGCAAAGGCAGAAGGGCTGTAAGTCTCTGCAGCAGGAACCCTTACCCCGCCAGGCATTAACCTCCAGGCTGCTGGATCACGTAACCTTGAAGGAGAAGGGGCTCACTCGGTGACTGGGGAGGTGAGTACTTACCAAGTAATTACAGAAATATTTCAGTATTTCAACTACTGTACCTGAACTGGCTAAATCATAAGCCCTGCATTTTACATCGTGACACAATACACTTGCACATGCACACAACCCCATATACATAACTAAAACTAAACTTTCAAGAAAGAATTCTTACCGTTTCTATATACAACACACTCCAATATCTTCTTTTCTCGTCTATAATTTAAAATGCTGGTCAAGAAGCACTAAAGGATCCCATGACCCACTAACAGGTGTCTGGACTCTTGGGAAGTGCTGGAGCCTCCAGGTCTCTCACCTTAAATACTGGTTAACGAGGGTAGCACAGTCAAGCAGCTCCTCCGGTGGGGGCACAGTGGGCATGGAGAACTGGTGCTGCGCAGGGCTGGGCTGGACCTTCTGGAAGGAGGCCTGGCAGATGAAGATGGGCTTGCCATGTTGCACGGCCTTCACAGAGCGCACCGAGAAGCTCTTCCCTGTGTGCATCCGCTCCACATGGTACAAAACTGGCATCTCTGGGTTTCCTGCAGGGGGCACAAGGGACACAGTGGGCCTGAGTGAGCCCCATAGGCCCTGTCATTGTCACAATGGCTGAACAGGCACCTCTGCTACCCATTCTCTATTTCTTTTCTGCTTGGTAGCTACTGACTGAGGCCTGCTAAGGACCAGGTACTGGGAATACAGAGAACACCAGACCCTGTCGTGGGAATGCTCCCAGTACAGGTGGAACTCCTCTCTGTCAGCAGCACAGAACAAAAGGGTCATTGCCAGATTCCCTGCATTCAAATCCCAGCTCTGCCACTCACCAGCTGTGGAACCTTGGGAAAGTCACTTAACCTCTCTGAGCAGTTTACCCATCTATAAAATGGGGATCAGAGTAATCAGACCTCAGGATTTTAATGAGAATTAGTTCATAGTTGTAAAGTGGTTAGCACAATATCTGGCACACAGAAAGTGCTCTGTAAGTATTTATTAAAAATAAACGCTTCCAACTTGTCTTGTTCCATCTGTAACTGGGATCTTGTCATGAGTCCGGTACCATTTTTCCAGACTGAGTCAGCAAATATGACCTACTATCTGATTTTTTCTGTTGTTTCTTTTCTTCTTCTTTTTAGAGAACAAGCAAAGGCTATTTATTCAGAGCTTAGTCTAGCAAGGGAGTCAGCCACCATCACTTATGTTTGGTAGAAACTCAAAGGCAGGCAGAGGAGTGAGAAAGCTTCATCATGAAAAAAGAGCTTTTAGGTGTCCCAATTGGAGGCTATTGGCATGGGGAAGCTGTAGGCAGGCTAACTAGAAGCGAGGCATCCTGTGTAATTGGTTAGGGGTGCATGTATGTCTTTCCATAATTAGTCCTAAGTTGGAAGAATGGGCAAAAATTAGGGAAGCTGTCAGTCGTTAATCAACTCTTGGTTGTTTGGGGCTGATTTTTACAGGGGCTGTGGGTTGGCTTCCTGAATGGGTTACTAAAGATGGCGGTCTGACTTCCTACAAGCCTAAATGTAGACAGTAGGTTGGATTCCTGTGCTGATTCAGAGTTCTGTTTTTATATACAGTCTGGCCATTGTCTGAATGTTCATTCTCTCAGGAAAAGCCTGCTGTCAGTCACTTCAACCTGATGCAAATGGCAGTCACTTGGCCCTTCTCCTTCAGGTGTCTGTACTCCCAATGCAGCATGGAAGTGACTGGCCCCGGCCTGAGGACAATCAGCCCTCAACCAGCAGGTCAAGGAGGCTTTTTAGGGGGAGAGAGTCTCCCTGGTGTCCTTGAAATCCTTCACCGTCTCTCCGAGTCAGGCTGACCTTGGAGAACCCTGGCACCTAGGCGATGAGACATCTGAGGATGACTTTCAACTTTCAGATGAAAGAAGCCGGTCTAGAGCAGTGTTGCTTCCTCTGCCTCAATCCAAATGGGGAGTCAGCAAGGCACCAGCGGCTCAGTCACAGTAATAAACGTCACCGTGATTTGAAGCCCTGAGGCCCGCTGGTCTGCCAGTGGTCTGATATCGGGCATTGCCAAAGGGGCATTTTTATCAGAACAGGGACTCCTCAAGTTCAAAGGCCTTTGAAAAAGGCCTCCCAAGAATCCAGACACTAGAGATAGCTACATATACAGTCTGACTGCAGGGGCTGGTAAGGAAGCCTCCCTTCTCTACCAATAAACTTAGAAAAAGAAGTTAGTTTTCATCTAACTCTTGGGTTGAAGCTCAAATGCAGTACTTCTGTTACTATTGATTTAACTCTGCATGTGAATGAGTTCCAGACTTACTCTTGGAAATTTTTACTGAAACAGAGCAGGTAGGTTCTTGTGTTGTTTACCGAAGGAAGGGAGCTCACAGCTATGGAGTGCTGGGTGCCAGGCAGTGTTAGTTACTAAGGTATCTTTTCTCATGTTGGTCTCACAATGACTATGCAGAGTGGGACTTATTCCCATTGTATGGATGAGGAAACTGACCCCATAAATAACATTTTCTAGAATACAGCCAAGCCCATTTGTTTACATGTCTATTGTTGCTTTGCCAGTAAAACCTAAAATATTTACTACCTTGCCCTTTACAGAATAATGTTTGCTGACTCCTGCTCTCGATTCTCCAAGCTCTAAACCTATACCAAGTCAAATGACTCCCGTATTACGTCCTTCTACTTCTCTAGAGAAATACTTAAAAAACAAACAACAACAACAAACCTTGACTAACATTCTAACCTGGGCTTTTAGGAAAAAAAAATAATTGATATGATAAATGGTCAAGGAACAACACCGCCCCCCTTCCCCAGCATCTTTTAATTAACTAAATCATTGGGACATCATCATGAGTTATAGTATTTGATGCAGAGGGTCACATTACAAACTGGTATCAAAAAACAAACAAACGAATAAATGAAGACACTTTAAAATGGAGCCAGAGCTGCCATACCAGAGGCACTGTCTTGCACTTCTTATGCCTCAAATCTCAGGGCAAAATAACCTTTGGGCTGGGCCAAAGCAACACTGTACCCCAAAAACTGTTTGCAAGGATAACAAGAAAGCAGTTATTATGACTACTGGACTGAAAATTTAAAACATTGTTTAGAATTAACATCAATATGTTATCGGTACCAATAGAAATGCTTTTCTTCTATTGATGTAATTGTTCTCCTTCTCTTTCTTATAATAACCAGTGCCTTTGTCTTCTAACCGGAACACCGTTTGGGCTTCTGCCTGAATCAGTGCGTCCCGAATAGCTTTCTTTTGATCTCAAATAAATGCTCATTGCCTCTCACTTTGAAAGGCCTTGTTATTTTTAAGTCTGGTAAGAGAGCTTCCCTTTTTGCCTTGCTGCCAGAAAGCTCAGAACTAACTTATACATAAAACTGCAACAATATGCCTTATCCTAGTTTTTTGAAACAATTATTTCCCCAAATCCCTGTTACTACTAGCCCCTTGACTTTTATTGTAATAGTCCTATAATAGCTGCCAATTATTTTAAGCTGTGTTGAAGCCTTTCAAGAAGCAGGTAGAGACATAACTAATTGATGATTATTTTGAAACAGTAGCATGGGCATGGCTCATTTCATGCTGCCTCTGGATGGAGAATTTCCAAGAAAAAAGATCCTTTCCCCAGAACCTGGGATGGGCACCTTGGGGGCTCTCCCATGGTTCGGATTATCTCCCAAGAGCTAAAGAGAAAAGCACAGGAGGAAAGTGTGGAGCTTGGAGTCACACAAACTCAGGTTCCAATCATGGCTCTGCCTCCTTAAATTAAGCGCGGTGAGAGCAGGTTACATCACCTTTCTGGGTCCCAGTTTCCTTATATATAAAAGTGTAGCACGAATGCCCACCTCCTCCTGTTTACTTAGGAGGATTAAACAAGATAGTGTACATGGCTGTGTTCTGTATCATGCAAATTTTAATTATTCCCATAAGTTCATTATCAAAAAAATAATGAGAGTTATCATTTACGGAAAACCAGCAAGATGCCAGGTCCTCCACTAGATACTTTACCTACAAAGACTCACAGAATTCTTTCAGAAACAAGATGAAGAAACTGATTCCGAGGAATCAGGTAATGCTCCCAGTCCCTTAAAACAAAACTGTCTCACTAGGCTAGAAGAATTATAGTATCAAAAGGCCAGCACTTTTGGAGTTTACAACCGAATTGAAAAAATAAAGGGCACTTTTGCTCCCAAGTGGTATAAAGGTAAGAACAAGGTAGGGCCCACAGTAAGTATTCAAACACTTTATAGCAAAGATTGTCGAGGAGCCGGCAATAAACAAAAAATGGAGAGTGAAGGGCATGGGAATCTACTATGAAAAGGTAACTATATTTACTATTATAACTATTTTATATTTGTAAAATGAAAGGGAAAATCCCACTATTGTTTTCTTAATATTTAAGTTCCATTAATTCTTCTCAGCTGATAGGACTATGCAGAAGACAGTGACTCTTAAAATTGGAGACATCTGCCTTAAGAGTGAGGGAAAGGGAGGAAAATCAAGTTAGATTATTGTTTCTCAAAAAAGAGCACGGGTTTTAAAAGACAAAAGACTGCTCTCTTGCTCCTCAATTTGATCCCAGAGCTATAAGCAGCAGTAGAGATCAAAACACCCTCGGTCCCACCCTCCTCAGGTTTTCAGGTGGGAAGAACTTAGTCCGAGGGAGGCAGGGGCAACCTCCCTCAAGGTCAAATGGCAAATTAACACTGAAAGTAGAACCAAGGTCTCTTGATTCCCAGGCTAGTGCTCTCTGCTCCAAGCCAAGCGGTCTGCCTCCAAACTCCTAGCAGAAGTTACAGCACCCCTCTGAGGATCCAGTGCAGTACTTGGCACAGAAGGTGTGTAAAGAATGAACAAAAGACCCACAGGGCGCAGTTAAGCCACAAAGTCTTGTATCATTTGGGACCAGATAATAAGTTGGTGTGAGGTCTAAGACGAAGACTCTTCCTGGCCCACCCAGGCCTTATTCCTCTCTAGACTCCCTTAAGGGTAGGGATCAACTAACACTCTCTCCCTCCCCCATTGCCCCCCTTCTTGTCTTCCTCTCCTCTCTCTGGCTCAGATCCTCAGTCAGCCCCCCAAAGCCAAGAAGAGGTGGCTGCGGGGCCACCGGGCTGGGCTGGGGGCAGGGAGGAGGTGGCTTACCTGCCCGTACAAAATAGCAGTGTAGGGAGTGCACGTAAACATCTTCACTCACAGACTTGGCTGCAGCCGCCAGGGCCTGGCCCACAATCTGACCCCCAAACAGCTGCTGGGTTCTTGGTGCCCAGTAATTCTTTCCTCTGTGGGGAGAAGCAGAAAGTAGGAGAGACTTGGGAACTGGGCCAAATCCTGCAACCATCAGTGAGTTTCTAGTGTAGGATCTCTTATCTTAACCTTATGGGGGTTTGGGATCCTTCTGAGACTCTGGTGAAAGCCCTGGACCCTTTCCCCAAATATCCTTGTATAACTCTGTATACAGCATACATTTTCAAGGCCTTTGGGAATGCCCAACCCTTCTGTGGACTTTGGTTCAGAATAACGAACCAACCTCGTATTTTGCACTAAGAAAACAGGGATCAGAGAGGGAAAGTGACTTGAGCAAGGTCACACACAGCTTAAATATTGCCAATCCTGAGTACTATCTGGGTCTTTTGACTTCCAGTCCAGTGTTTCTTCCACTGTCCATACCTGGGTAAGGCAGAAGCTTCTCAAGGTCTTGAGTGGACCAAGATGAACCCCAAGGGCTGGGGTGGACTGCATCAAAGCCAGGCACTTACACTCCTAAATTCTGACAGCTCCATTCTTCCAAGAACTGCATTTAGAGCTCCTTTAGAAGGGCCTTCAGACGTCAAGTCTAACCCTTCCGTGTGCAGATGAGAAAATAGAGTGCTCAGAGGTGAAAAGCACTTGCCCAGTGCATGAACCAGGTGGAAGCTGAAGTATTTACGTCTTCAGTTTCCCAAGGCCGAACTCAACTTTGCGTCTTTATACAATGCATTGCAAAAAGCTCTCCAGGAAGTTATCTGTAATTCATTAGATAAAGCAAAGAGAAGTTAGCACCCAAAGTAACTCCCAATAAGCTAGTAGGAGCGTTGGAAGCCAAAACTGTTAAATCCTCAGCTGCAGTCAAGAATTTAAGTGGCATGGAGAAGGAAAAAAGCTCAGGCCTCAGAATGAGTCGAGAACTACCAGATCCCACCAAGTAGTGGTAAGAAGAAAAGGATAGTGAATACTCAAGGAGCTAAGAATAAGTTTTAAACCTGATCAGCTGTGTGCTCTTGGACAAGTCGCCGCCCGTTTCAGGCTGGTTCCCAGGGACAGGGCTCCTCAAGGGAGACTGCTGAGAAGATGTCTCAGATCACCACTTTATTTGCCTAGGCAGCCAGGACCTCCTAGGGATGGGGCTACGCAGATCCGGCGTGGAAAAGGGAAAAAGCCGGGACAGCGAGGCCAGCTCTGTCAGGGACAAGTTCTCTCCCAATTGCGGCAGAGCCCGCATCCTGCGCAGAGCCCATCGTCATCCAGAGGGCTGTGAGCAGGAAACTACAGGGTGGCGGCTGTCGAAATCAAGCTTCTGTCCCCGATGCGGCCGGCTACCTGAAGAGATCCTCGTCCAGCGGCTCAAGGTTGAGCACCCTGGTGACCAGGACACTCCGGAGGTCCTCTGAAGGATTGCTGTCGCCTGGCGCATCCTCCGGGGCCTGCGGGGACGACATCTCGATACCTTGGCGCCTGCCGGCGATACTGAACTGAGAGGGACACTCCGAAACCCAGACCGCACAGCTTCCTATAGGCTGCGCTAGTAACCGGAAGTCCCCCTGCGGACCCCGAGACTAAGCCATCCAGGTTATGATTGGCTGGCGCGCCTGTCAGCCTTGAGGGTGTGGCTATCTTTCTCTAACGATTGGAGAAAATGAGTGCCAGTCTAGGAATCCCGTGTGTGATTGGACATAACCGTGAGGGGGCGGATCCCCGAGACTGGATAATTAGGGCTGAGTGTCATTTCCCCTCTGTCAAATAGCGAAGACTCCCGCAGTCGGTTTGACTGACTTAAGCCTAGGGCTCCCCCTGAGCTCCATTGCCGGCAACCTAGCTGGGGCCGACCCTGAAAGCATCCTGGGTCCGCGCCAGCCTGTAGACCCTCATAGTGTGACCTCTGATCCCTGTTCTTGATCTTGGGGCTAGCCCCTGGTGTGGGCTGAGGAGGCGGCCATGGAGCTGGGCAGCTGCTTCGAGACCTACGAAGACTTCAAGAAGTCCTTCAGCGCCTACAAAAAGGAGAACAAGTGCTCCTTCATTCTCAGGGACCGCGTCTCCGTCCGCTTCCACAACCTCAACCATGGCACCTCCATCCGTGAGGACATCCTGTAAGGGCGGGGCAGGGGCAGGGCAGAAGGGTGGGGAGGAGGCTGGACAGTCCTCAGGAGGGCGGCCTGGAGGAGGAGGGAGTGCAGTTGGGCCCTCGTTTCTGTGAACATTCAACAGGCATTCACTGAGCACCTGCTGGGTGCCTGGTTGGAAAGAGAGCAAAACCTCCACAGCCATCAATGTTGTACACCCGCTTCACCTTCACTCATTCACACTCCTTCATTCACATTTTTTCCGGAATTCATAACTGTAATTTATCCCATTTTATGAGTACCTGCAGTATCCCAGACACAAAATATGGCCTTCACAAATGATAAAAATGCCTTCGCGATCATTTCCTTCATCAGTCTCCTCTTTACAAAGCAGTAACACGATCAATTGTTGGTTAGTTGGTTGGTTGGTTGGTTGGTTGGTTGGTTGGTTCATTCATTCATTCATTCATTCATTTGTTTCGTAAATAGTTCTTGAGCTCCTGAGATAAAAACCCGGTTTTCAAACACTTCCCATGTCCTAGGCAGCGTTCTCTAGTCCGTGTAGGCTTTACCCCACAGGACTGTATTGAGAATTATAGATAAATGTTATTTTTCCCATTTGAGAAAACAGGCTTAGAGGCTAAGATAAGGGTTGAAAACTCAAATGCCTTTAGGGCTCAGGCGAAACAGCCCAGTCAAAGAAAGTGTAATTTTAATTTCACTATAAGAAAAAAGAATGATGAAATTACCACCAACACCAGGTCTTTGTGCTGGGGACAACAGAAGTGCGAATGGAGTAATATGGAGAGCAGGCCCCATCTCATCAACTCCAGCTGATGGCTACCATGTGAAAATGAAGATCCAGTGTTGCCAGAATTTGGGGCAAGACAAGTCAGAAATCCAGGCTTTATGTGAATTCGTCCACTTTTTAAAAATTAAAAATTCAAATTCGAACACACATAATGTGGGCCAACTGTGAGTGTCAAAGTACATCTGAGTTTGAGATCTGTGGGTTGAGATGTTTGGCCAAAGGTCTCATCTAGGGAGGCAGGCTATATGTTCTTTTCCCTACTCCGAAGTCCAGTGCTATCCTGGGTACAGACAACAGAAGGATGGATAAGTAACCAACCTACCCTCAAAGATCTTAAGATAGGATAGAGTTGGATTCAGGTAAATTGACTAGTATGTGCTTTAAAAGAGATGTGTAGAGGAAGAAGTGACAAATGCTTGGGAAGTAGAGAAAGACTTCATGCTGGAAGTAATGGTTTCTGTTGGGCCATGAATGAATGGAAAGGGCTAGAATAGGAGTTCAATGGTTAATTATCAAGTAGCATGGAGGAGTTTGACCAGAAGGAGCTATGCAAAATGAGCTATGGAGCAAAGGTACAGATATGTGAAAGAAGGTAGCATGTTTGAGAAACTGTGTGGGATACCATACTTGGCAAGAGATGAAGTCAGCTGCAGTTTACCTAAAGGGTCTTTAGGTATCATTGTGAGGTATTTGGACTTTATCCTATGACCAATAGCATCTTTCTAAACAGTGAGACTAATACAAAAAAAAGTCCTGCTCTTGAGATGCTTAGTCTAGTTCAAATAAATGCAGTGCCTCCCATGTCCCTCAGAATGAAGTCCAAGACTATTAACTTGGCTTGGCAGACCATCTGACCCTTCTGATCTCTCCATCTTGTGCTGTGTGTCCATCCATAACCGGTCTGCTCCACACTCATCCCCTGTCACAAGCCCGCAACTTCTTGGTATTTACACTTACCATGTCCTCTGGTTAAAATAACCGTGCCCATCCACTTAGCTCTTTCCTCAAATGTCAGTTATATGGCATACTGTCATCTCAGTACTATATATCCTGTACTACAATTAACAGTTTAAAATTCAGTTTTAATATTCAAAGAAACCTATTTTAGACCCAATCTAAGCAATAAGATGTAAGAAGTAACAGTATAGTGCCCCCCAAGTGGTATATATTTATAAATAACTATTAAAATAAATATTCTTATGCAAGCTGAGGTCATTTTGGACCTCTTGTGGGAAATTTTGTTTTAGCTAATTATTACTTTTCCTTCAGATTTCAGCACATTTTCCAGGAAGGCTTTAACTTCCAGAAGATTAGGTTAGATCCTCTTCTGTGTTCTGACAGCACCTGTTAACAGCTGTCACAGCACCTGTTACTCCTGTTAACGGCATATTGTTGTTTTGGAATACAGTTTACAGAGATTTACATGTGTTGGCTGAGCTCTTCCAGGGAGGGACTCTGGTTCACCATTTTTTGTATTCTACCTATATAGTCCAAACATCTCACACTTGTACCTAAACACCCTTCAGATGACCATCCCTAGGGTCTAGCACAGGGCTTGGCCCATAGCAGGTATTAAATAATTGCTGAATGAATGAGTCATCAAGTGCTAAACATGCGATTCAGGGTGATTGGTGCTGTAGAGACTCACAAGAGAGAAAAATCAGTTTTCTATTTGCTGCTCTAACAAATCACAATGTAGTGGTTTAAATATAAATTTATTATCTTACAGTTCTGTAAGTTAGAAGTCAGACACAGGTCTCACTGGGCTAAAATCTAGATATGAGCAGGGCTGCATTTCTTTCTGGAGTCCCTAGAGGAGAGTCCGTTTTCTTGTCTATTCCAAATTCTAGAGTCTGCCTACAATGCTTGGCTCATGGTCCCCTTCCTCCATCTTCAGAGCCAGCAATGGCTGATTCAGTCCTCACATCACTCTCACCTTGTTTCTTGCATCCCATCTTCATCTCCAGCTCCCATCTTCTGCCTCCCTCTTCTACTTTTAGGACCCTGTGATTATGTTAGGCCCACCCAGATAGTCTAGGATAATTTCCTTTTTTAAAAGTCACCTAATTGGCAACCTTAATTCCATCTGCAATCTTAATTCCCCTTTGCCATGTAACCGATCATATTCACAGGGTCTAGAGATTAGGAAGTGGACATCTTTGGGGACCATTCTGCCTACCACAGGAGGATTAACTTCCTGGAGGGAGAAATGGTGTGAGTTAGTACAGATGTTAACATCATGTACTCAGGACAGTGAGGAAACCTGCTGAGCTAGAAGGAAGATTTATGCTGGAGCAGTAGGAAAGGAAATTGGAGGGTCTCAGATAGCGGATTGGAGTGTTGGGATTAGTTGCATTTATTTTTATTCTTGAAGGTTGAACGATTTAAAAAATGAATTCGTTTTTGAGTGGTTAATATAGTCATATAATTTAAAATGTTTTTCAAACCATACAAAAGGGTCTAAAAGTCAGTGTCTTTTCCACTGTGTTATCTGGAGGCAACCACTGTTACCTTGCTAAGATGTGCTGAGCCTGGACAAGCACACCTGTACATGCATATGCATCTGATGCATCTTCTTTTTCATTTTTTTTTTAACACAAGTGGCTACATACTATTTATACATGTCATTCTGCATCTTGCTTTTTTCACTTACCAATGTATTTTGGAGATTATTCCATATCACTTAGTCTATTAAAATCAATTGTAAATTTACAATTGATTTTAATAGTTGTTAACTGGAAACAGCTCTATGCTAGTGTCTGGAGATTCAGCGTTGAAAAAAATAAATTGGGCCCCTGCCTTCATGGAGCTTCCCCTCCAGTCAGGGAGACAAATATTAAACTTTAATCACAGAAATAATTATTTCCTTAAAACAGTAGTGAGAACTTCAGTGGAAACGTCTGGAGTGCTGGGTGGCGAATGACAGAACCTGAATCCAGTGGGAAGGGTGGGAACGCCGATTGATGCTCTATACCAGTGCAGGCTCTGGATTTGAAAAAAATAAAGTCATCCCTGACATTTTAGTTTACTGAGCATGTCTACAGCCATGCCACCCTGAACGTGCCCAATCTCATCTGATCTCGGAAGCTAAGCAGGGTCGGGCCTGGTTAGTACTTGAATGGGGGACCACCTAGGAAGACCAGGTGCTGTAGGCCTTAAAAAAAAGAAAAGTAGTTTACAGAGCACGTTCACCTTCATCGCACTTGGTCCTCAGAAAAGCCTCGTCAGAGGTAGGTTTCGTTATTCCTGATATGAGCTAATACATGTAAAGCGCTTACCACAGTGCTTAGCATACAGAAAATATTCCATAACTATTAACTGCTATTATAATATTATTTTGCAGATAGGGAACCGCGCCAAGAGAAGTTAAACGTCAAGAGAACTATCTCTCCGCTTTACATTAAGGCTCAGTGTGTCGTTTGCTCAAGACACACTTGGACAAAAGGCAAGGGAGAGGATAGCTACAGTAAAGGGAAGGCCAGGAGCAGGGACTGAGGCTGGCAAAAACACCTGGTGTGAACCAGAGAAGTCTGAGTTTGGTCAGTTACAGCCCAGAAAAATGAAAATGGGGAGAAAGGAGGGGCACGTTGGAGCAGCGAGTGGGGTAAGAAACTGTAAGAAAGCACCTGAGTGTTAGAACCGAAAGTCTGCCCCTACTTAACCCCTGGGTTGTAACAGCTTTTTAATTCCACTTGTTCATTTATTCTTTCCACAAACTTCTAGTGAGGGGTAAAATGTTTACCCCCAGGCATCGAGCTGGAGTGCAAAGATGAGTCGCTTGTGGTCTCTACTCTTGAGGACAGTAGAGGGCTGTGCTAGCTGATGAGGAAGTGAATTCATGTGCCACTCAGGCCTTTAGCAGAGACGGGTTGACTATTCATTGGGATGTTGTGAAGAATATTCTTGGATTTCTTATTGGACACTGGCTTTGTGCAGAGTAGACTATATCGGGCTTTTTGAATGATACATGGTTTGGTGGGATGAGCGTTTCTCTTGAGGGACTGGAGGGTGGGTAGCAGAAGGGTTTTTAGGAGATAATTTAGTAGAATGCAGCTGTTACCCACAACCAGTTTTGCATAATGCTGGTCAACAAGTGAGATAATTTTCACAGTAAGTATTTATGTTAATATCTAAACATAAATAAAGTGAGCTGATCTAAAGAAAACCATTTGAAAATGATTATGCAAATGTTATATGAGTGGCTATGGCAGATATA